CTTATGTTTTTAAGGCTGTGTAATATGAATTAGTCTATGTATATTGATTTTATAAATAGGCTCAAAAGAACATGGACTGCTTATGTTCCATGTGGCTTCATGATACTTGAAAAAATTATTGGGAATTGGAAAAAATAAACGACTAGAGTCAACTGTCACAAGTTTCTTATATTACCAATGTTTGTCTCTACAAAAAATACAAAAATTAGGTCAGGCGCGGTGGCTCATACTTGTAATCCCAGCACTTTGGGAGGCCGAGGTGAGCAGATCACTTGAGGTCAGGAGTTTGAGACCAACCTGGCCAACATGGCATCTCTACTAAAAAATACAAAAATTGCCAGGCGCGGTGGCTCACGCCTGTAATCCCAGCACTTTGGGAAGCCGAGGCGGGCGAATCACGAGGTCAGGAGATCGAGACCATCCTGGCTAACACGGTGAAACCCTGTCTCTACTAAAAATACAAAAAATCAGCTGGGCGTGGTGGCGGGCGCCTATAGTCCCAGCTACTCAGGAGGCTGAGGCAGGAGAATGGCGTGAACCTGGGAGGCGGAGCTTGCAGTGAGCCGAGATCGCACCACTGCACTCCAGCCTGGGCGACAGAGTGAGACTCCATCTCAAAAAAAAATAAAAAAAAAATTAGGCGGGGCATAGTGGCTCATGCCTGTCATCCCAGCATTTTGGGACGCCGAGGCAGGTGGATCACCTGAGGTCAGGAGTTTGAGACCAGCCTGGCCAACATGGTGAAACCCTGTCTCTACTAAAAATACAAAAATTAGCCGGGCATGGTGGCAGGCACCTGTAGTCCTAGCACTTTGGGAAGCCGAGGCGGGTGGATCACCTGAGGTCAGGAGTTCAAGACTAGCCTGGCTAACATGGTGAAAACACATCTCTACTAAAAATACAAAAATTAGCCAGGCATGGTGGCACGTGCCTGTAATCCCAGCTACTCGGGAGGCTGATGCAGGAGAATCGCTTGAACCGAGGAGGCGGAGATTGTAGTGAGCCAAGATCATGCCACTGCACTCCAGCCTGGGAGACAGAGCGAGACTCCGTCTCAAAAAAAGAAAAAAAAAAAAAGATCTCCCAGCATTTTTAATCCTATTACAGAAATTCTTTCAAATGATTACCTCACCTTTTCTTTATATTTTTTCCCTGTCTGGAAACTGCCATATCTCACCTTTTCTAATTTTGATTTGTCAGAGTTACATACATATAATTGGGGGGGAAAATATGATGTTAGTCCCAAAGAGCACACCACATTACCTTTGTGAAATGAATCTGATTTCTGTTTGCTCTCTCAGATTAACAACATGAAGACCAAGTTTAAAGAAACAATTGAGAAGTGTGATAATCTAGAGCACAAACTAAATGATCTCCTAAAGGAAAAGCAGTCTGTGGAAAGAAGGTAGGTACAATTGGTCTGTTCTGTTGTAACAGGCTCTATAAACAGACAGTTTCTTTCATTCCTATGGAAACACCCTCATTTTCAAATATACGTATCACCAGGTTTTCAGGAGTCTCCCTATGTATGGAACAGGCTTCTCATTTATTAAAAAATGTGGGGTTTCATACCAGATGGATGCCATGTGGAATGCAATGCTCTCTCCTGATGTCTGTGCGCCTGAAGTGTGTGCAGATATCTTCCATTTTTGCCTGTGAAAAGCAATTTTCTTCCATCCAGAGCCTTTGGCTTCTTTGAGCCATTGTGGCTGTGAACTGGCAGTTAGGAAGGAGACTGTCTAAGCTGGAAATGTTATATACTGTGGCCTTGGGCAGGAGTTAAAGGCAAAAGATGTTGAATATGGAGCATAAAACTCATAAACAGCATAGCAATAACATTCCTTATTTACTATTATTTGGGAAGATAGTTGCTACTGATTGAAATTACCAGCCAGGCGTGATGGCTTACGCCTGTAATCCCAGCACTTTGGGAGGCTGAGGCCGGCAGGTTGCTTGAGCCCAGGAATTCAAGACCAACCTGGACGACATGGTAAAACCCCATCTCCACTAAAAATACAAAAATTAGCTGGGCATGGTGGTGCATACCTGTAGTCCCTGCTACTCAGGAGGCTGAGGTAGGAGGATCACATGAGTCCGGGAGGCAGAGGCTGCAGTGAGCCAACATCTCACCACTGCACTCCAACCTGGGCAACAGCGAGACCCTGTCTCAACAAAAATAAATTTTTTTTAAGCTATTGTAAAAACAACACTACAAAATTAATAGAAGGAAAAATTTAAAATTACCCTATACTTTCAGCACCCTAACAAATTGAACAACTGTGTTAAAGAATAAAGAATAGAGTTTAAACTGGAAGGGTTTTTTTTTTTTTTTGGAGACAGGGTCTTTCCCTCTCACCCGGGCTAGAGTGCAGTGGCGCGATCTCAGCTCACTGCAACCTCCGCCTCCTGGATTCAAGCGATTCTCCTGCCTCAGCCTCCCAAGTAGCTAGGATTACAGGAGCACGCCACCACGCCCAGCTAATTTTTGTATTTTTAGTAGAGATGGGGTTTCACCATGTTGGCCAGGATGGTCTTGATCTCTTGACCTCATGATCCACCCGCCTCAGCCTACCAAAGTGCTGGGATTACAAGCATAAGCCACTGCACTCGGCCAGCTCACTACATCTTCCACCTCCCTAGGCTCAGGTGATGCTCCCACCTCAGCCACCCAAGTAGCTGGACTACAGCTGTGCACTACCAGCCCTGGCTAATTTTTTTTTTTTGAGACAGAGTTTCACTCTTGTTGCCCAGGCTGCAATGGCGTGATCTCGGCTCCCCGCAACCTCTGCCTCCAGGGTTCAAGCGATTCTCCTGCCTCAGCCTCCGGAGTAGCTGGAATTACAGGCGTGTGCCACCATGCCTGGCTAATTTTGTATTTTTAGTAGAAACGGGGTTTCTCCATGTTGGTCAGGCTGGTCTCAAACTCCTGACCTCAGGTGATCCACCTGCCAAAGTGCTGGGATTACAGGCGTGAGCCACTGCACCTGGCCTCTGGCTAATTTTTTGTAGAGATTGTTTTACCATTACAGGTGTGGGCCACCACACCCTGCAAAACAGGAAGTTCTTTTTCACCCCCTAGATCCTGCTATCTAGTGTTAACCATTATTATCCAGTACTAGTGAATATTTATTCTAGATGTTTAGCTCTGCCCACATAAATATCTCACATGCATAATCTTTTCTCTGCAAAAATAGAATGTAGGTGTTATCTTTGATAAAATATGTTTTTGGACTTTTTTTCATACTAGCACATCTAAATCTGTCCTGATCTTTGTGTAACATCTGCATGCTGTTTCATTGCATGGATGTACCATAATTATTTTTGTTGTTGTTGTTGTTGAAATAAGGTCTTGCTGTGTTGCCTAGGCCGGAGTACAGTGGTGTAATCATAGCTCACTGCAACCTCCAGCTCCTGGGCTCAAGTGATCCTCCTAGTCTGAGCTTCCTGAGTAGCTAGGACTACAGGTGTGTGCCACCATGCCTGCCCAATTTAAAATTTTTTTGTAGAGATGGGGTCTTGCCATATGGCCCAGGCTAGTTTTGAACTCTTGGCCTCAAGTGATCCTCCTGTCTTGGCCTCCGAAAATTCTGGGATTATAGGCATGAGCCACTGCACCTGACCTACCATAGTAATTTTGACCAGTTCCCTATTGATTGTGTCAGGTTGTGTCAAATCTCACAGTACTATAAGCAATACTGTAAAGAGCATCTTTCTCCCTGTCTCTTTTTGCCCAATCCTGAGTATGTATATTCTATGGGATAAATTCCTAGAAATGAAGTATCTGTGTCAAAGGGAATGCAATTATTTATTTATTTATTTTCTTATTTATTTATTTATTTTTTTTTTGAGACGGAATCTTGCTCTGTCGCACAGGCTGGAGTGCAGCGGCATGATCTTGGCTCACCGCAACCTCCACCTCCCAGGTTCAAGCAGTTCTCCTGCCTCAGCCTCCCGAGTAGCTGGGATTACAGGCACACACTGCCACACCCGGCTAATTTTTGTATTTTTAGTAGAAACAGAGTTTCACCATGTTGGCCAGGCTGATGTTGAACTCCTGACCTCATGATCCACCCTCCTTGGCCTCCCAAAGTGCTGGGATAACAGGCATGAGCCAACGTGCCTGGCCCAAATTTTTAATTTTTATAGATATTGCCAAGTTGTCTTCAAAAGAGTTTATACCAGTTCATGCTCCTGTGCCAGTATGTAAGTGCCTCTTTTCTCATGTCTCAGCTCTTGGGTGTTCTGATACATAAAAATAGTATCTTAAATAGTGGAGTTTTTTTGTTTGTATTTTTTGTGTGTGTGTGCTTTTGTTTGTTTTGTTTTTTTTTTTTTGAGACAGGGTCTTATTCTGTCAAACAGGCTGGAGTGCAGTGATGCAATCACAGCCCACTGCAGGCTCAAATTCCTGGGCTCAAGCAATCCTCTGCCTCAGCCTCCCAATTAGCTGGGTCTACAAGTGCACATCACCACACTTTAAATTAAATAGCTAATTTATTTAATGTTTGTTTTGTAGAGACGGTGTCTCACTATGTTGACCAGGCTGGTTTCAAAGCAACCCTCCTGGCCTTAAGTGACCCTCCCACTTTTGCCTTCCATAGTGCTGGTATTACAGACATGAGCCACTCTACTGGGTCTCAGATGGTGTGGTTTGTTTGTTTGAGACAAGGTCTCATTCTGTCACCCAGGCTGGAGTGCAGTAGCATGAACACAGCTCACTTCAGCCTTGACCTGCTGGGATCAAGCAATCCTTCAGCTTCAGCCTCCTGTAAATCTGGGACCACCGGTGCACGCTACCACACCTGGCTAATTTTTTTGATTTTGTGTAGAGACAGGGTCTTACTTTGTTGCCCAGGCTGGTCTCGAACTCATTTCCTCTTTCATTTGCTGAAGCGATCCTCTCACCTCAGCCTCCTGGAGTGCTGGGATTCCAAGCATGAGCCAACGCACCTGGCCTCAAATGATGGTTTCATTTGCAATTCTTTTTTTTTTTTTTTTTTGGTATATAAACTATTTATTAACAGACAAGGTCTACAGACTTACTTCTTCTTGGACACATCCACGGTGCGGCCACGGCGGCAAGTGGTCTTGGTGTGCTGGCCTCGGACACGAAGGCCCCAGAAGTGGCGCAGCCCTCTATGGGCCCGAATCTTCTTCAGTCGCTCCAGGTCTTCACAGAGCTTGTTGTACAGACCATTGGCTAGGACCTAGCTATATTTTCATCCTTTGCATCCTTCTGTCTGTTCAAGAACCAGTCTGGGATCTTGTACTGGCATGGATTCTGCATAATGGTGATCACACGTTCCACTTCATCCTCAGTGAGTTCTCCCGCCCTCTTGGTGAGGTCAATGTCTGCTTTCCTCAACACCACATGAGCATATCTTCGGCCCACACCCTTTATAACAGACGGCAAAGACTATTTCCGCCGCCCATCGATGTTGGTGTTGAGTACTCGCAAAATATGCTGGAACTTTTCAGGGATCACTAGAGACACGGCGGCAGCACAAGCAGCGGTGTGTAGGCCTCCTGTGGAAGAGCTGCAATTCTTTACTTATGAGTAAGACTGGACATCAAGAAGAGGGCACTCCCAAGTCTAAAGCCCTTTGGTTAGAATAAGTGCCCTTTTTTTTTCCCTTCAGCAAATGCAATGAAGTCAGAGTACTTGACTCTCCAAGAATGCCACTTTTCCTCATAACTTCCTTATCACAGTTATCATCTGCAAGGCACCTATTTAACCACTGACTGCAAAACAAAGAAGCAGGCCGGGCGCGGTGGCTCAAGCCTGTAATCCCAGCACTTTGGGAGGCCGAGACGGGCGGATCACGAGGTCAGGAGATCGAGACCATCCTGGCTAACCCGGTGAAACCCCGTCTCTACTAAAAAATACAAAAATCTAGCCGGGCGAGGTGGCGGGCGCCTGTAGTCCCAGCTACTCGGGAGGCTGAGGCAGGAGAATGGCGTGAACCCGGGAGGCGGAGCTTGCAGTGAGCTGAGATCCGGCCACTGCACTCCAGCCTGGGCGACAGAGTGAAACTCCGCCTCAAAAAAAAACAAAAAACAAAAAACAAAAAAAAAACAAAGAAGCAGTAGAATTTTTACCATCAATCACAGAATAGTTTCTGCTACTGAAAAATTTCTGATGCTTTTTTAAAAAGTGTCTTAAAAGTACATTTGTGGGCTGGACGTGCTGGCTTACACCTGTAATCCCAGCACTTTGGGAGGCTGAGGCCAGTGGATCATGAAGTCAAGAGATTGAGACCATCCTGGGAACATGGTGAAACCCCGTCTCTACTAAAAATACAAAAATTAGCTGGGCACAGTGGCAGGCACCTGTAATCCCTGCTACTTGGGAGGCTGAGGCAGGAGAATTGCTTGAACCCAGGCAGCAGAGGTTGCAGTGCGCCACTGCACTCCAGCATGGGCAACAGAGTGAGACTCCATCTCAAAAAATAAATAAAATAAATATATAGTACACTTGTGGACTGGCACAGTGCATCATGCCTTTATTTTTTTTTATTTTTTTTTTTTTTTGAGACGGAGTCTTGCTCTGTTGCCCGGGCTGGAGTGCAGTGGCCGGATCTCAGCTCACTGCAAGCTCCGCCTCCCGGGTTTACGCCATTCTCCTGCCTCAGCCTCCCAAGTAGCGGGGACTACAGGCGCCCGCCACCTCGCCCGGCTAGTTTTTTGTGTTTTTAGTAGAGACAGGGTTTCACTGTGTTAGCCAGGATGGTCTCGATCTCCTGACCTCGTGATCCGCCCGTCTCGGCCTCCCAAAGTGCTGGGATTACAGGCTTGAGCCACCGCGCCCGGCCGCATCATGCCTTTAATCCCAGTACCGTGGAAGGCCAAGGCAGGTGGATCACCTGAGGTCGTGAGTTCAAGACCAGTTTGGCCAACATGGCGAAACCCAGTCTCTACTAAAAATACAAAAATTAGCCAGGCATGGTGGCGGGTGCCTGTAATCCCAGGTACTTGGGAGGCTGAGGCAGGAGAATCACTTGAACCCAGGAGGTGGAGGTTGCAGTGAGCTGAGATCGTGCCATTGCATTCTAGCCTAGGCAACAAGAGCAAAACTCCATTTCAAAAAAAAAAAAAATACGCTTGTGTTAAGTAAAGCAAAATTCTTGCTTTGCGTAGCTGATTGCGATGGCAACAAACCAGTCTCCCTCATCATGGGAGAAAGGGGTCTGTCCTAAAGGGATTCTGAAGTTATGGTTTCTCTGTTCAATCCCGGAGCAGAAAGGGTACTGTGTCAGCAAATGAAAAATGTGCTTTTGTCTTCCTTTGTTTTTCTAAAGGTGCACTCAGCTAAACACGAAAGTGGCCAAACTCACCAACGAGCTCAGAGAGGAGCAGGAAATGAACAAGTGTTTGCGAGCCAACCAAGTCCTCTTGCAGAACAAGTTAAAAGAGGAGGAGAGGGTGTTGAAAGAGACCTGTGACCAAAAAGATCTGCAGATCACCGAGATCCAGGAGCAGCTGCGTGATGTCATGTTCTACCTGGAGACACAGCAGAAGATCAACCATCTGCCGGCCGAGACCCGGCAGGAAATCCAGGAGGGACAGATCAACATCGCCATGGCCTCAGCCTCGAGCCCTGCCTCTTCTGGCGGTAGTGGGAAGTTGTCCTCCAGGAAGGGCCGCAGCAAGAGGGGCAAGTGACCTTCAGAGCAACAGACATCCCCGAGACTGTTCTCCCTGGCACCGTGAGGGTGTGCTGGGACCTTCAGCTAAATGTGAGGGTGGGCCCTAATAAGTACAAGTGAGGATCAAGCCACAGTTGTTTGGCTCTTTCATTTGCTGGTGTGTGATGTAGTGAATGTAGAGGGTGCTGACTGGAGAGCTGATGGAAAGGGGCTGCGTTTGAAAAGGTCTTAAGAGTTCCCTAACCTCAGACATTCTAATGACCATTTTGCCTTCCTGCTCGGTAGAAGCCCCAACTCTGCTGTCCATTTTTCCGTTGTATTTATGGAATTGGTGTATTTGACATTCAGTTCTGGGGTAGGTTTAAGATGTTAAGTTATTTCTTGTAACCTCAAAGGTAAGGTTATCTAGCACTAAAGCACCAAACCTCTCTGAGGTCATGACAGCTGCTTTAAAGAGAGGTTTCCATTGGCTACTAAGGAGTTATGAAAATTCCCTAGCAATAGTGTCATAGCATTATCATCTCCCCCTTCCTCTAGGGAGTGGAGGAATTGCTTGAATGTTATCTGAAAAGAGGCCTGGTAGTAAACCAGGCCCTGGCTCTTTACCAGCAGTCATCTCTTCTTGCTCTGGGGCTAGCCAGGAAAAACAAACAACCCGGGGCACATTAGGTAGACTCAGTGTAGGAAAAATGGTGGCAGCTCCACTGTTTATTTTTGGTGACTTCATATGTCATTATGAACTGCAATTAAGGAGTAGGCTTAATGGCTGTTCCCAAACTCAAATCTCAGAGTGGATATCCTAGCACTAGCAAGACTGAGTGGGGAGATTTCTCATCCATGTGAAAATGTAGAGTGAGGCCTCTGACTAGCTAATTGTGTATTTTGCTGGGTTCAGTATTTTCTAAATGTTTACAAAATACTGGGCTGCATGTTCAGGTTGCAGCTAGAGGGAGCTTGGGCAGATTTTCAATTATGCTTTCAAGATATAACCAAAGGCTATTTCTAAATCCTAAAATTAGAATTTCAACAGACCCCCCTTTAAAACAGTCATATAACGCTTGTGTGGGCCAACAGAGGGGCTGTGTGCTCTCTCTGGAACCATAAATGTCAAGTAATTCATAACCTGCAGTAATTGAGCAAACTTAAGACCTGTGTTGGAATTTAGTTTCTTGAAGAGGTAGAGGGATAGGTTAGCAAGATGTATTGTTATATGAGGGGTTTTGGTTTTTGCTTTATAATTAGCCAAAGGTTTTCAAATGATCACATTTCAGAATAGGTTTTTAGCCTGTAATTAGACCTCATCCCCTTTGACCTAAATGTCTTACATGTTACTTGTTAGCACTTCAACTGTATTGCTAATCACCGTCCATTTTTGTGGGATATGCTGCAGCATTTCCCAAAAAACTTTACCTGTAATGTTGCAAAATGAATGTACTCAGACATTAATTTTTACTTAGGGCAGACCAACTCTTTGAGTCTCTCTTGGACTTATATATACATATATCTTAAGAGTGGGAATGTAAAGCATAACCTAATTCTCTTTCCTATAGAGATTCTATTTTATTTAAAATCTATTTTTACACTAGTTAGAATCCTGCTGTTTTGGCCAAGTAGTTGTCTTGCATGTCTGACCTTGCAGAAGCTGCGGTGGATCATAGCATACTAATGAAGAGAATTAGAAGTAGTTTACAAAGCTCGCTCACTCATTTCTCTGTGATCCCCTCTATCCAGCGGCTCCACCACCACCTGGGAAAACAGATTTTTCAGCACAGGTGGGATAAATGCTCTGAAAGGCTGTGCGCAGAGGAATGAGCAGATAGGCAAATGTTTCCAAACTACTTGAAGGTTTTAAAAAAAAATGTTCCAGAAAAAAAAAATCTTACCAAGATATGTAAAGAAAATGTGTGTGTGTGTGTGTGTGTGTGTGTGTGTGTTATAAAAACAAGGAGTCATGTTTGAATTTCACAATATCACATCAGACAGAAGCTGTTTTCTTCAGGATGGAAATGAACCACTTAAAATACCCATACTACCTTGAACAATGAAATTGAATTAAAATAGCCAAACTTTGAAATTATTCTGCCCTGTGTAAAATTTGTGTCTCTGACTGACATTTACTTGGGAGCATGTCTCTAATAATCTAAGAAAGTGTCAGCCGGGCACGGTGGCTCAACGCCTGTAATCCCAGCATTTTGGGAGGCTGAAGTGGGCAGATCACCTGAGGTCAGGAGTTCAAGACCAGCCTGGCCAACATGGTGAAACCCTGCCTGTACAAAAATACAAAAATTAGCTGGGCATGATGGTGGGTTCCTGTAATCCCAGCTCCTGGGGAGGCTGAGGTGGGAGAATCGCTTGAACCTGGGAGGCGGAGGTTGCAGTGAGCTGAGATCGTGCTATTGTACTCTAGCCTGGGCGACAGAGCAAGCCTCCATCTCAAAAAAAAAAAGAAAGTGGGCCAGGCACGGTGGCTCACGCCTGTAATCTCAGCACTTTGGGAGGTTGAGACGGGCAGATCACGAAGTCAGGAGATCGAGACTATCCTGGCTAACACGGTGAAACCCTGTCTCCACTAAAAATACAAAAAAAGGCCGGGCGCGGTGGCTCAAGCCTGTAATCCCAGCACTTTGGGAGGCCGAGACGGGCGGATCACGAGGTCAGGAGATCGAGACCATCCTGGCTAACATGGTGAAACCCCGTCTCTACTAAAAATACAAAAAACTAGCCGGGCGAGGTGGCAGGCGCCTGTGGTCCCAGCTACTCGGGAGGCTGAGGCAGGAGAATGGCGTGAACCTGGGAGGCGGAGCTTGCAGTGAGCTGAGATCCGGCCACTGCACTCCAGCCTGGGCGACAGAGCGAGACTCCGTCTCAAAAAAACAAAAAAAAAAAAACAAAAAAAAAATTAGCCAGGCCTAGTGGCGGGCGCCTGTAGTCCCAGCTACTTGGGAGGCTGAGGCAGGAGAATGGCATGAACCCGGGGGGCGGAGCTTGCAGTGAACTGAGATCGTGCCGCTCTAGCCTGGGCAACAGAGTGAGACTCCATCTCAAAAAAAAAAGTGTCAGGGCCGGGCGTGGTGGCTCACTCTTGTAATCGCAGC